GAGTCGAGAGGACATCCTCCTTCCTGTGGACTACTGTGGTAGATAAATGAGCCTATAAGGCAGGGATGGGAAGGTTACCTTTGTAAACAACTAGCCTGCCTCTGCTGGCGACCCCTTGGATCTGCTATTGCAAATGGCATCATGCTAGCTCCTTCCCACAGGGATACAGTGCCCTCAACCCTGGGCTGAGCTAGCTAAAATATTACTTGAAATTACTGAAAGCAAAAAAGCTGGTGTTCCTGTATCTCCCAGGACTCCAAAGGAGGGTGCTGTCCTACTAAGTGGGTGCTTCAAAACAGCAGACATGCTGGGCCTTGTTCATGACTGTTTCTCCCCAGGATGCTGTCAGGACAGCAGGTAGGAGCTTAACTTCTGCATGGAGCTATGTCAGAGGGGAGGTCCCTGAGGAGGAGGCCTGGGTGTATTCCAGAGGAAAACGACAGCATAAAATCACTGTGCTAGGGATGAAAAAAATGTACCCTCTGCACAGTGAGCACCCATATGACATCAGGAGCATGACCCAGCCTAGGCCTCCCTTCAACAGGACACCACACGTACTCACCAGCAGGAGTGGCAATCCCGTCCAGCGTCTTCAGTCACCGCGCAACCTCAGTACACGCTGACCCAGCTCAATCTCAGCTCCCTGACTACAACATCTCCCAAGTGTTTCCCGGGCTTTCAATTCTATTATTTCAGATTTTTGTTAAAATGTCACTTGTTCATTGAGCCTTTCCTGGCCACTGTACCCCTAACTACAACCCTCCCTCTTTTTTAATTTTTATTTATTTATTTATTTTTGGTCTTGGCACTTATTACTACTTAAGATGCTAGATTTTAGATTTTTTTTTTTTTGGAGAGATTTTTGCTATAGGGCGCATGCGCTCGCCCAGACAGAGATATAGAGACAGAAAGCGAGAAATCACCCCCCAGGGGGGATGGCCATGCCACAATCCCTTCTCCTCCATTCTCCTCTCGGGATCTTGGGCACGCACACACACACGCCCGGCGTGAGTTTTAAGCCACCGGGTCCGGGATGTGAACCGTGGTTGACTACGTGGGAGTCCAGCGACATAGCCATTACACTAACTGCTGGTTCCCCAGATGTGTCACATTTTATTGCTTAGCTACCGTTTGGCCCCAGAATTGTACATTTTGATGACAAAAGCTCTTTGTTAAAAGAATTATTTTTATTTAACTTTATTATTATTCTTTTTAATATTTCTAGAGAGAGAGAGAGAGAAAGAAAGTGAGAAAGCAAGCCTCCAGTTCCAGGACTCAAACCACAGTCGGCCATGTGGAAGTCCAGTGCCCTTAACCACCATGCCACCTGCCGGCCCAGATAAAAGCTCTTTATTAGCAGACACAGAACTAATACAGTAAGAGTAACACTATGCTAATCGATCACTTATTATTCATTTTACAGGTGCACTCATATATTGGGTTGTCAGAAAAGTCACGATGCATTTTTGCATAGAAAAACAGGAAAATACAACATGACTTTCCAATGACCCAACAGTATGTAAGAAGAAATGCAAAACTAATGTACATTATTATTTTCAATGAAAATTCAAATGAGAATTGCCCTGGCCCCAAGTGGAAGCGGCAGTGGATTTAGAAAAGCCAAAGACCCAGACACCAAGTAGAGGAAAGCGGGGATGGGGTGGTCCGGGCATCTCTGATGGAGATCGCCATGGCACTGAGCTGTTCCCAGATTGATTCTTTTATAGAGCAAAGCCAGGTCCTTTCTATTTTGACCACAGCTGTGAAGTTTCTGCACTCTCATGGCTCTGAGCAAGCCTCCCCTGGCTTTCTCTGGCTGAAATGCAGTTTCCTTCCATCTTTACTGCTCTGTAGTGCAGATCATGTCTTTATTAGAGCTCTTGCTTGCCCTGCAGTGTCAGCACCAAGACCATATCTGCTTTAAAGGTCACTAGTTTTTGCCTAGATCTAACTGCTCCTTACAATAATAATTTTAAAATATTTTAGTCTATTTATTTTTGCATAAAACCTTTTTTTTAGATTTTTTTTGTTTTTTTTTGTTTTTTTTTTTTTTTGCTATAGGGTGCGTGTGCTCACCAGAAAGACAGAGAGAGACAGAGAGACGGAAAGTGAGAAATCACTTCCTGGAGTCCTGGAGGGATGGCCACGCCACAGTCTCTTCTCCTCCATTCTCCCCTCAGGATCTTGGGCACGCATGCACACGTGCCCAGTGTGAGTTTAAGACACCGGGTCCGGGACAAGAACCACAGTCAACCACATGGGAGTCCAGTGACATAGCCATTATGCCAACTACTGCTCCCTACACACACTTCTATAATGCCCATTATACTTATAGAACTTTACACTGAAAATTCAAAGGGATGCACAATACCCCTGACAGCCAGTGGGGCCCCAAGTCAGGCCCATGTCTGGACCTGGTCAACTGCAGCAACATAAAATCAAGAGCTGACTAGAGACCTCCCTCCCAGTATAAATACATTAGAAGATGCTGCTTTCATTAAATCACCCCATGTCTAAAACCCAGGTTTTCCATGATCCTGAACACCGACACTCTACTTCCTTCCATGAATTTCACCCCAACCTAAGTTGTTTTTTTTTTGGAGGGGTTTTTGCTATAGGGCACGTGTATTTGTGGAGGGCTCTGCATACGGAAGCCATCTTCAGCTATCGGCCATCTTGAGCTATCCACCATCTTGGAAACCATTAGGTTTCACTTCCTTATTGTGCAAACCATTTCTCGGAAATCATGTGATCAACTGTTCTCTCCCTGGGGCAGTTGGGTTTCTAGGCAACGGGAGAGATCCACCCACACCAATGATTGGCTCATACTGTTCTATCTCATTTGCATTTCGGGCAACCAATTGGTTCCCACCAGCTTGTATATAACTCACCATATTTCCTCAATAAATGAGAAGAGGGAAGACTTGATCAGCATCTTGTTTTGTCTCTACTCTGTGTCTGTGTGTGTTTGTCCCATCTCTCACTCCCTCCCCCAGGAAACCTGTTCTACTGGCTTGCGAGTGGGGACATGTATTCACCAGACAGAGACAGAGAGCCAGAAAGCGAGAAATCACCCCCTGGGGGGATGGCCACCCCGTAATCCCTTCTCCTTCATTCTCCTCTCGGGATCTTGGGCGACACGCACCTGTCATGAGTTTAAGCCACTGGGTCCGGGACTCGAACCACAGTCGACTACATGGGAGTCCAGTGACATAGCCATTATGCTAACTGCTGATCCCACCCTAACCTATGTTTAATCTTTATTTCTTACCCACTACAGAGTTTTCTTTAGAATCTCCCTGCAGTTCTCTCCCAAGGTCACACTTCACATGCATCCACCCTCCGGGCCACATTGGCAGAGCTGGAGTTCCCTGGGACAAGCTCAGCTGTGGTTTATCCTCTGATTGCTCATACAGCCTCCTTTCCCTTGGATCCCCTGGACATCCTTTTTACATTGCCATTTGATCTGTTCTCTGAGGTACATGGGAAATCTCATTCCTCCCCACCCCCTGCAACCAAACCTGCTTCTACTAAAAACAAAGAATCAAAACCTGCTGCTTCTAAGAACAAAGGCTCATCAAATATTTGAATCCTGGCTCAGAAGAATGGTTGACTCTCTAATATAAAATAAGAGTTGAGAAGGGTTGCAGCCTTGGCCTGGTGGTTAAGGCAGTCAGATCCCACAGGGCCGACTCCACAGTTGGAGGCCTGGACCCTGCACTGCGAGAAACACAAGGTGTGTGCTCAAAGTCCTGAAGAGAAAGAGAAATGGAGGAGAAGGGATTGCAATGTGACTATTTCCCATGGAGGGGGTGCTTTCTCTCTCTCCCCTCTCTCTCTTTATGCCAAGTAAACATACCCTCCGACTTCTTCTTTAATGGATTTGATGAAAAGGGTGCTTGTGCAGGAACCTGGGATAATTGATGTTCATAGCCAAGGCTCAGTCCTATAGATAATAACTGCCTGATAACTCCGGACATTCACAAGTCCTGGGGCATCTACAGAACATTTCTTGAGGGAGTAACTCTAAAGCCCTCAATCTCCTCAGGCTCTGTTTATATGTCAGTATAAATAGAATATTTATTCCTAAGAGGGGCAGGTGTGCAGCAAGAATGGGGGAACTTACCCCAGGTCTGTGGCACTAGTCCAACACAGGCGACTGTGAGATTCTGTAGTGGGTCTGCAGCAAGAAACAACACAAATTGCTTTGTCCCCAGTATCTGCTGAGGGCCCCCTGCACTCCTGGGGGGCTCAGATGCTCTAAGCACTCTGTAGGTTTCTGCTCGTTCACTGCCATATGTATTTGTTACTAACAATCTGGAGATCCTAAACTTTCTCTAAGGTTACACTGTAATGTTTTGCACAATGCACCAGAGCAGCTGGCATGCCCTGCAAATGCAGTCCCCCCAGCTCCTGCTCCTGGAGAACATGCCTGGCTCAGACTTCAGCCCCTGCCAATACTGGGAGCAAGCAGCCTCTAGGCTGATCATAACTTAATTTCTATCACCTGCCAAGTATTGACTGCTGGAATGGAGGACTCAGCCTAGAGACATTCTCCAAACATTTCTCGAAAGTTTCCAGAGCTACATGGTGGTCTCCCCCCCCCACCCCCACACATACACACCAAAATAAGTCAGATTATCTTTCCGAGCTCTCAGGAATAGATACATTGTATTTATTTATCCAGCACAGTGCCTGGAGCTCCACCTCTAAGTTAGGAGTGGCTAGCTAGGTGTACATTGCTCGAAATTTTGTACTGAAGACATGCCCTCCTACAACGCTATTCTCGCAATTATCTGCCCCACCCCCGCTGCCCGCATGCGCACTTCGGCAGACACGGCCCACTGCAACTGGTGGTCTTAGAAGAAAGCGGGGCGGGTGCACGTTTGCCAGGATCCTCTGTGACCCAGACTAGACACCAGATGACGACCCTTCCAGGGCACA